TTACTGCAATATAATTTCAAACAAAACCAGTCAAAAGTGATTATGTTCCTTAGACAATATGTGACATAGAAAATAGATCCTCTAAAAGAACGTCAAGTGAAGGCATACTTTGGTAACTTAGCGTCGTTTCTGGAAAAAGAGGCATGTTAAGGGAGTTTATTAAATTTGTGATCATTTAGAAAGCAGAATAATTTCAAGGTATATATTTATTTTTCAAAGGGATTACATTTCTGGGTGGTGTGTGTTCATCAGACTGAAAATTTTTCTGAGTCGTAGACTCATGAGAAAAAGACCCAGGTAACTGCTAGACTGTGCTTGGGTATAGATAGGAATAATTATTTTAAACTATTACATATTCACATTTCAACATAATTTTAGCAAATATGACCAAAAATATATTTGTGGCTCAGACTGATAACTTAGAATGGTAATTAATGAATACAAAGTATAATTCATAGAAGATGTAATTCAAAAGTTAAAAATACTGCATCCTTTTGCTTCTTTTATAGGCTATGAAAACCAAGTAGACATTTGTGGTTGCCAAAAGGTCACTCAACATCTATAATACTTATCTGCTCATATAACCATAAAAAAAGCTTCTAGAGTGTTTTTTTCCAGGTCAGCAAAATATTACTAATTTATATAAGCCCGAGAAATGACTCAAAATGGAATTATTAAGAAGTCTGACATGCTAAACCAGATAATTTATTTTACTTATAAAATATCCAACTGGATACTCTGACATAATTTGCATGCCTTTAAAGAAGGTGGAGTTAAAACAATGCATCAAAAGAATTATACAAGTGATTTGAGATTAGGTATCTGGTACCATGCAACATTAATTTTCTGCTGTCATGGTTTATTTACGGTTACGTTTCTTGGTTCCACTTTTATTCAAATATATCTTGTGGAGAAATTTGAATCTTCAGAGAACATGAAATATCCTAGTGCATGACCACAGAGGAAACTATGCTTATTCCAACAAGGGCAGGCCAGCCTGGGATGAGTGTAACAAGTGAGAGGAAGTGGAATTATGGCTTGCATGCCATTTCAATTACAGAAAACAGCAAGTGGGTTGGTCTATCCACAGGCACGATCCTTTTAGGAAATTCCACTAAAAGAAAACAGGTCTTCCTGAAATGAGTGGGAAGGCCTCACACTCTGGGCAGCGTAATTACGTCTGTTTGTGTCCGCTGGGCCTTGGATCTCTCAAAGATCCACGCGGTTTCATATATTACCCCAGACTCTGATTGCCCTTTCACCCGGACTCAAATGTAATCACTCACAGAGTCTGACAAAACTTCCTAAGCATGCTCCACCCAATGGAAGTGGGATAAAGGATACAGAGAGTATTCACATTTATTAAGTGCTAACTATATGCCAATCACAGTACTTTTTACACATTATCACATAGTCATTGTTTTCCACAACTGTGAGAGAGAAGTAGTATAATCCCACTAAAAGCAAAGTCAAAAGTCAAGGTGAAACTTTGTCCAACTTTAAAGACTTTCCTCCATATCATATAGTAATATCCCAATATTAGTCCAAGACATAATATCAAATAGAAAAACAAACTGGGTTAGCCCTCCATCTGCCCTTCTGAATGTCTAATATGTACAAGAACTCAGTTATAAGTAGTATTTACATACTAAATGTTAAGAAATCATTAGTATAACAGCAGCATAACTCATTTGTTTCCCTGCTATAAATATACAGAGAACAACTTCACCTAATGTCGCCTAGTTAAGCTGACATTGGCATTGAAGTTTAAAACAATATAATATTGGGAAAATATATGAAGCAGAAGAACAAAAAGTACTGAATTTGGGCAAAACATGTCAAACAAAAGCAGTACATTTTCTTAAATTGAAAGCTGTTCCAACATCTAGCAACCTTAAACTAAGGGCAAGTATAAATGATGATTTTTTTAAAAAAGGAGGTATTAAAAAAAAAGAAAACAGATTCCATCTCTTATGTTTATTCATATGAAAGTTTTACTCATTCCTAGTATTTGTTAAAATGAAACTGAATCTAAGCCTTTATTGACAGTATTATAAAAATGTTAATTTTAGTGAGTAATTATGAAAATAGTGAATCTCATTAAAGAATCAAGATATTTCAAGATCCAATTCTAGACAAACTGTTTTGTTTTTTAAATTTTCTTTAGCAGGAACAAAAAAGTCATCTAAAACAGGCCGATTAATTCTTCCAAATAATTGAATTCGTTTGAATTGATTTGAGAAAAGAAAAGTCAGTCCTGTTCCAAAATGAATTTTAATAGCCCGGAAGACCTTTCAAAAAGTACCTTGCAAATATTTATTACTTTGAGCAGCACACACGATTGCGCAGTCTATGCTGATGCCTCAAGACTCATTTATTTTATGCATGAATATGTAAACATGTTTCCCATTTTATTCTGGAATGGTATTTAATTTCACGGGGCTTGTGATTCACACAGTCCCGTGGCTCTGTCTCAAATGTGTCTGTGTCCTCCATCCTGCAGCAGTTCTGGTTTCTGCACCCTGTCAAATGTAACCTTTGTGCTAATTTGGTAAAATCAGTTCTCACGTTTAGTGCTGAGAGACTGATAACTGAATTCTCAAATGAACTGCACATTTGCAGAGATGAAGTACAGAGCTGCGGACAATGACTGTTTTCCCACAGTGTAAATTCTTCAGACTCAGCTGTCAACATGTGAGTGTACAGCAAAAAAGCAGCTTTAACTTGATGACTTTTTCCCTCCAAGGCCATAAAAATGAAATGGATACTATACTCTCCTTGATGTTATTCCATCTTCTAATGAGATTTTTCTTTCTCATGGACAGTGAAAGCCTGTATGCCCTCCAGAGCTCTTCATAGATCAAAGTCTCCTACTTGCTGAATAAAAAAACAAACATTTTCCCTCTGACATAAATATTTCAGTTTGAGAACAGACCAGATAGCAATGTTGAAAGAGGTTTTTCCCATTAATTTTGATTCCATACAAAGCCCAGGTTTGACAATAGAGAATATTCCAAAATGTTGGATTTTGGAGTTTGGTTCTTTTATAGTTTTACACAGATAGCCTTATCATAATCTCAGTATTTTTTCTTTTCATTGATGAGGCCTCTAATTACTCAGATGGTCGCCTAGGTACCACTACCCCTCCTCTACCCCCAGGGATGGGTATTTGACTCTACGTCCAGTCCCTTTGGGTCGCCGCAGTGCTTGAATTCAGTCACGAATGATCTTAGCCATCATGTGCAAATGAAAGAACAATGAGGAAGTGATGTCAAAATTATTTTATTGGAAACTTGGGATAGCAAGAAATCAGGGAAGCTAAGGAGCTCTTTAAAGAGAACAGGCTCATAAACAGTGGCAAATACTGCAGGAGAGAACATCCAAATGGAGATGGATACAAAGGAAGTCATTAGTGACATTTGGAGGAGCAGTTTTGTGGGATCAAAATCAGATTGAAAGGTGTTGAAGGAGGTGAAAATGTTGAGGAAACACGTTCTTAATCAGGTTATGGACTTAGACATATAGGGACTCTTTGGCAAACCATGATTAAAAGAAGAGTTTGGTTAGGGTAGATGAGCGAGTTTTCAGGTCAGAAGAAGCAATCAGTGTTAAAAAAAGAGATAAAGAAAGCAAAAGAAATGCAACTTGGGTAAACTTATGAAGAACATCAATACAACTGAGAACAAAGGCAGAAGGGTCAAACATAGAAGGTAAGAGGCATACCATTCTCATTAATACATGAAAAATAAAAGGATGATCAGAAATGCTGCAGGAAGGAAGAGAAACTGATCGAGGTGATTTGAGGTATGTTTCATGTTTTGAGTAGTCCCTTTAAAGAATGTAACACATGATCACAATTTATGGTCTCCTGAAGTTTTAGTGAGATTCAGAAGCAGAACTGTGATTTTTTTCTAACAAACCAATGAAAGACAGAGGTGACAACATGAATTTTGGATACACCCAGAAGGGCAGGAAGAGAAAGTGTGGCAGAGGTTCAAAGAATGAGATACTCAACCATCTTACTGAGAATATAGATGGACTGTAAGCCATGAACTTCATCCTTATTAGTGAGGCATATAAAACCAGGAAAAAGCTAATGGATGAGAGATTGGTGCCTGGGCAGCTTTATTTTATAAGATTTAAGGCAGAGAAAATTATTTAATAATAAAAAACAACCGTGATAATACTGTAAGGGCCATTATAAAAATCTTTGATGAATGTGTAATTTTTAAAAATCTACATATAGAAGAATATGTAAGGGTTACTTGGTTCAAAATCTAAATGAAAATACTGTTTATTTGTTTTAGGCATAATAAATTTTGTACATTTTCTCTGATAGTAAATTTATTTATATGCTGAGAGAAAGGGAGTAAAAATATATCTATTTGATCAAACAGTGAATCTAGTGCCTAAAGTTCAGGAAAGTGGATTCTTGTTCCAAATCCTCTACTACTGGGTTAGATGTAATTTTAGACAAAATATTACCCTAATTTCCTTACCAATAAAATAGGAGAGGATATTAGGAAAATTAAAGCAGAATCAAATGAAATGATATAGAAAGTGCTTTGAAATTTGAAACAGTTCCAATGTAATGTTATTAGCACTACAACTTTCTTAAACGTTCAATAACTTATATGATGCTCTCTAGGAAATAGGAGAGGTGTGGAGGGAAAGAAAATCCTACAAAATGAGGTATGTAGTGGTATCCCTGTAAGACAAGATTGGTAAGTCATGTTATCTTTTTCCACTGCCTCCTTTCCATAGCTCCAGCCAGATCTATTTCTTTCCATAGTTAACAACTGAGAAATTTCCATTTTGGCAACAAAGAAAATATTTTCCTGAATTTTTAATCTCTCTTTTCCCTTTTGCTCCACTTTCTCACACCCACAGTCATGATGTCACCATCATGAGTTTAACTGTGCACTAAATCTTAAGTCCTACTGTTTGTATTTACAAGGAAAGTTGCATAACATGCTTGTGTTCTTGCATGCACCACCTACCATTGAGCCACCTGGAATCATGCTGCTCTGTCCTTATTGGGTGGTGATGCCCAAGAGTTCGGAAGATAGCAAAGTCTCGCCCCATAAAATCAGCTGCTGTTCCAGAGTACAATTCTCCATCTGTGTTGTGACAAAATAAAACCACACACATATATACTTTAATCCAATTAAGGCAAGAAAAATAAAGCCGACAAAATACATGTTTCAGGTCAAGACTATGCTAAAAAGAAAACAAATGCTTTTTGCACCATTACGCGAAGTTACATATTTTTATCCTATGTTTTTGTTGAAGAGAGTATTTTATAAAGTGGTCATTCACTGATTAAGTATCTTACTACTCATTTAGTACTAACTTTGAAAAACTGAGTAAAATATGATTCAGTGGACATTACTTAAACATAAAATTTCATTCTTTCCACTATGACCAGAGACAAACTTAAAATACAAAATGCAAGCTATATTTATCACATTGTTTTATAGGTGTAAAGGTACTGTGGTTCTAAGATACTTAAATATTAGGGTGAGGTTTCAATGTAATATCTTGCTTAAAGTTTTTATTTTAATGAAAATTAAGTTTCTAATGTATTTCCTTTTTAATGGGACCAGAATTAGTGAGATTTGGCTAAAATTTAGGAAGGACAGCTATTTCTCTAAACCAAATTTTTTCTTGCTTTTTATTTTTTAACATACCAAGTGGGAGAAATGTTCTAACTTGAGGTAATCTTTCCTACAGCCCAAAAATAAGTTCACTACATAGTGTCAGATGTAAAAGGAATGTGTTGAAAGAGGAGGAGATTTTGACAAACACAGGTAATAATCACTACAGCTCAAGATTCTGTTGTTTTGACTCATTCCTACTTAAGCTGAATTAATTCTAGGTCAGAGTTTGATAATGGAGGGATCACAACCAGCAGGTTAGAATGAAAAGGAAAAGAAAAAAGGGAGGAGAAAGAGATGGTAATATTTGCTGAAATACCATTCTGTGCTTGCTGGGCAGTCAGGTACTGGCTTGACACCTGCAAATTATTTCGCGTAGTTCAGTCAATAGCCCCATGATGTAAATGTTATCCCTGTTTTACAGTTCAAGAAATCCATGGTTGCTCGGCTAGTGACTCGATAAGTCAAGGTGAAGGTTCAAACTCATGGCTGTTTAATCCCAGACCTCATGCACTAAACCATAACCACCTTTCAATAAGCTGAAGGTTGCAAAAATTTCATTTTCTTTCCTTAAACACAAAGTGCTTCATATTATTTCATCCAGAAAACACATTATTGCCTGCTCACTTTTAGGGAATTATAAGCAAAACAACATAAAAATACAAAATTTTCTCCAAATAATCTACCATGATGATGGTAAAACAAGGATCTGGTTGATCATTTGGATAAATTAGTGTCTCTCAATTCACTGGTGTGGAAAACATGAAAAAAGTGAGGAGGCATAGATAAATTAAACATTTGTTTAATACTGTCATTCCCAAAGAATTTCAGGATTTACTGGGTACATTGAAAACTTGGTCTATTTTCAGTTAAAAATGCCTTTGGGAAAGTCTTCTTAATCTCACTGATCTGGTTCTTTACAACATTAATTCTCACTTGCAAATAGGGCTTTGTAATAAAAATAGCCATTCTCCATGGTTCAACCCAAACTGATTCCTTGGGTAGACCCTGTGGTCCTCTGAGGTGTTTGTGGTGCACCAGGCTGTGGCAAGCCTCCCACACAGGGAGCGGCACTAAGAACCCCAAGGGGTGACGTTAAAGGCTTAATAGAAATACACCTTACCTTAAGGAGTATGTAAATACTGATCAGTTATTTTGGATTGTTGTGAATCAAGACAAATACAAATGAAGGTTTGACAATATATTAAGTACAAACCACTAGCTAAATGAATGGTACTCACACAACATCCTAAACTGTAGTCTTACAGTTTCTTTGGGATACAAGGCATCTTGTGTTCTCATCACTTAATTAAATAGAAGTTCAAATCAAACCTGCTCTCCCCATAATACAATTCAATGTTACGTTATCTGCCCACAAGGTAAATAAATAACCTGTTTCTAAAAGCCCAAAACTGCTACGAATACGCTATCTATTCATTTCAAAGGTACTCTGAAGTATTTAAATTCCTATTGCCTCCCTAATTAACCTATATATATAAGCACTACAACAATATTATTAAGGTTCAAATTTCATCTTCTTACAAATAATTGACAAATATGATGAATTTTTAAACTTCAGGTGGATTGTTTTTCTTGATCAGTGTGAATAAGAGGGTGTTAGCTCAAAATGTGTTGTGAAAGCAGCCTAAAATGTTCATGTCAATTTTAAATATTTTCATGTTGTAACACCTGTCATTCGATACTGTGTGTCTCTTTATCTTGAAAAATCAAAAGTATTGAATTATTAGTTGAACTTGATTACCTGCTCAACCACATGGTAGATGATAAAAATCCAAAAAGGGGAAAACAATAGGCAGGAAGTGGAAACTGAACAATTTCATATTAGAGTGTAGTCAGAAAGGCCATGCTCAATAGATGTGATTAGAAATGGAAAAGTAATGAATGACATTAATTTTTTCATTTAGTTTCCTTTAATGTAACATCCATATTTATGGTTGCTATTATACGTAAACTATTTTCAAGAGTTTTAATTACAAAAATAGCAACCAAAGAAACTGTTATTTGAAGATAGATAAGTATGTTTCTCTTACTCATTTGTTTAGTTGTAGCATAATTTACACTTTTTTTATCCACTCCCGCATGAGGAAGGCAAAGGCAGAATGACTGATTTTGTTTCTCTTTTAAAAACAGATAGGTAGTTCATTCAGAGAAAGTAGAGAGTTCTTCAGTAGTAGAGTTATTGACTTAATTTACTACTAACAGAAAATTAAAGAATCAACTTAGAAAACAGAAGAAGGTTGCAATTTAGGCACCAGTTGTCTCCAGTCATAGGAAATTACTTCCCACCCAAATATTATTTTTAGAGTCAGTGTTATTTCTGTGAGCTGGAGGGAACCAGATGATTAGGTGGCCATGAAGTGTATATTCTCATATTGTCAATGCTCAACATCAGTATCTATTCCTTTACATCAGGACTTAGAGCAGATTTTCTGCTTAGATGTCTACAGGATTCTTACCAGTGATAACTGCTCCAGAAATTGGATGACATTTATTTGACCCAAATCTGTAGGTATAAAATATTCTATTCTTACATTTTCACTTAGATACATAATATCAACAAAGAGAATGTTTTATTTCATATACTTGTGCACTTCCATCATGTATTAAAGACTTCTTACATTCTGTGGTTATCTGAAATGACCTAACGATATCTGAATGTAAGAAATTTACTATACTACTGTTGGCTTATTTTTGGAGAATAAATACATTTATCAAAAAGCCTTCTTGTAAAATACCATTTGTAATTTTTAAGTCAGTTGTGAAGTTATCAAATTGTATGTTGATTCTTGGGCAAAGTATAAAATTCCAGTTTTCTGACTCTAAATATAAGAACTTGAAAATCTGAAGTAGTGTATTATCAGGTAAATGTTATCCTACAATGACTCAAATACATACAATTTAAATTCACATAGTTAAGATACACACCTTTGGGGTTCCATATATACTAAGTTACTCATGAGAGAAAATAAGACATTTGTCCAATTTTATTATTGACAGTAGAATAATATATTCAAGGAATTGTTATACCCACCAAAAAGTGGCTGTGGATACTCTGTCCAACAGTTTTTAAGTCTCTTTGGAAAGAATACCATATAGGCAGACTGATGTCTCAAAATAATACATCAAACTAAGATAAATTACAGCTGACAGATATAACTAACAATCTAGAAATTGTCACATACGAAAGCTGCTTTTGAGTACACTGCCATTTTTTCTTAACTGTCTCGTAAGGAAAGCATTCTTTACTGAGATAAACAAAAAGTTGAGAATTTCCACATGGTAGAGATACCCGAGCAGCATGTGTTAACAAAAGTTCACATGTACTCTGGATTTTTTGTTCACAGCTCAAAATCAAGGAAAAATGTGGCTTAGATCAGTTAATGTATTGGATTACAATTCCTGAGAAGGGTGTGGTAAGGAGAAACAGAAGGTGAAAAGAACATTTCCTTATGAAATCACAGTATTACTAACACAGGTGTAAAGTGTGACATGGATGTGAGCAAAACTCAAACAAACCTAAAGATCAAGCCACTATGCTGTTAACACCTTAAGTAAATTCCACTCCCAGAGTAGTAGAGTAATTAGAAACAGAGAGAAAAAAATCTCTTTCTTTCTTTCTCATACACACACATATACACCACACACGGCATGAATTCAATCCATTTCTTGAGATTGGAACAATGTCAGAATAAGTTTACATTTTTATATTTATTGAGCACCCTCTCTATATCAATACAATATAATATGCTGGCTTTGTTACTTATGTTAGGTCTTTTTAAAACTAAAATTTTTAAGTAATTAATATGTACACGTACAAAATTTAAAATATACAATTTATAAGGTACCAAATCTGTCTTCCAGCCTCTGTACAACCACTGTTGCTTTTTTTATTTCTACTTTCACGGATATTCTAGAAATACATTGGCATGCAAATGTAATATGCTATTACTTAGTTCTCACAACAAACTAGTGGAATTAGCACAGCCTTGCCATTTATATACAAATAAACTGAGGATCTGGGAACTTCAAATAATTCTCTCAATTATAGTTAATTAATTTAGGGAGTACCTCATTTGCTCCAACACCATGTGAGAGTGTATTCTGGTGTCAAATTATGTTCTTTCCTAAGGCAAGGCAGAATTAAAGCCTGGGGAAATAAACTGTAGCCAACAGTCCCAGACCCTTGAGCTAGATCCCAATAATCTCTCTTCCTTATGGAATATTTCTAAATTATTAGCATTGCAATGCCTGGAGAAGACTTCAATGAGGAAATAAAACTGCTTTCAAGTTGACTATTCATTTTATGTCATGAAAATGGAAGATAATTTTTGCTTAGTACAGAAAACACATGGTTTTATTCTTTTGTGTTGTTCACACCAATATGTATTCCAAGCAGGAGAGCAATTGCCCTTTTTAATGCAGAATACTTCAGCAAAGTCATAAAAATATTTACAGATGGATGAAATACAAAAATATATAAAAAATAAATACTGGAGCAATTGCACACTAACAAAATGATTTTTATTAAGGGAGATTTTAAAAATGATTTGAAAAACTTAGGACATATAGGATTTGGGTACTTAATTCAGTAGCTATGCATTGCTTGGGAGAGAATTCTTATTTTCTGTGGCCATTAGCCTAAAAACCCATGGTATTTTGGAAAGAAGTTATAAGAATTTATAGTAAACCTTGACAAATTTCATAAACTACATTTTCTGAACTGGTTTTAAAGCTTATTACTGGTTGAACTGTTAATAAGGGCATTGGCAATATAAAAAGCTCTCTGCTGTCAAGATCCATTCAGCCAGTTTACAGGTGGTTTGAGCCAAACATGAAATTTATTTCTCAGTATTGGGAAGAAAGCAATCCAGAACCACCTTGAAAATTTCCCTTATGTCCTAAAATGAAAATATATTCAAAATATTTTGGGTAGGCAGACTTTTCCAATAGCCATCCTCTAATATTCTATATACTATCTGTATATTTCAGAGACAGTTGTTACTCTTGTATGTAAAAGTTTGGGAAGTACTCTAGGAAATATTTGTTGAAAATGCCTTAAGTTAGTATTCTCTTTAAAGCAGTACAAGAGAAAACGCCAAGAAAAACCCAACAAAGGGAATTAAATGCATCGTGAGACCAAGAATGTGCAGCATAGCTATAAAAGAAGCAAATATCAGGGTCACAGCTCTTGATTTCAAATGGTGTTGCAGATATTTTGAGGGATTTTACCAGGTCTAATATGGTCTGTTCATTTTTATGTATCTCACTATTCAAGTGCCTCAGAAATTAATTTGTGGGTTTCAATAATCTCCTTTGTCAATAAGCACTAAATACCTCTGAAAGTTACTGAACTATTTTACCATATTGGGTAGGTTAGGTCTGGACTTTCATTTAAAAGCTGCTACTCTGAAATGCCTACTGTTCTTTTTAAACCATATATCCTCTTCTTTACTCACAGAACTTCCCTCATTCTTGTTTCCTTTGCATAAACCTATACAGCTTTTTTTAGAAAAGTTCTAATATAATACCAAAAACTGTGGCGTCTCGTACTCTTTGCGGACTTTGTGTGGTTGCATACCATATGAACTATGTAATACTTACTTGTCATCAGCCTTTCTCAATGGAATATTAAAATAAATAATCAAGCAAGTCCCTACTGAAAAACATACCACAAATTAAAGCTGCTTAAGGTACAATTTTACATACAGCTTTTTGAGGAATATAGATATCTTTTTTTTTTCAGTATGCAATTTAAAAAAGTATAGCCTGCAAGTTAGAGCAAGGTAGGACTCCTCCCTTTTGTTTAAGACAACTTTCACATTTCTGCCTGTGCACTGAAGGAAGTCATCCACATGTATCACCAGACTATCTGTGAACAGAAAACTATAAGTGTGCTGCATTTGCTGCATTCTTTCAGGTTTTCCACTTTTGTTGAAATGCTGCATAAATGGATCAAGTGGACTGAAATTGTCTACATTTGAAAAGCAAAAGAGGAGATAATTCATGTTGTAATGGTTTTATTCTTCATAGAATAGGAATCATTGAAATAGTGATAAAGTAAACACTAGAGAATACTAGAAAAAATATATCTTTATAATCTGTAGTCGATTTGACTAGAGTTTCACTTTTTCAGTAAAAAAAGTTTTCTCTTTAAAAGAAAGACTGGCAAAACTTTGTAAACTTATGACATCAAATTATAATCTAGTTTTTAAAAATTTAGATTTATTATTAAAAATTCAATTAGAAATTTTATCCTTGAATAGTTTTACTATTATTTTTGGTGTATTATGAAATAATTACTTCCTATATTTTAGAAAAGGAAAAAAAAGAAAGAGGAAGCAGAAATTTATAGAGTTTCTGCATTATTATATAGAAAAATACATTCAGGAACAGAGTAATGACACAGAATCTGTTTTGTGTTATGTGGTTGTTATGCTCAGAAGTAAAAAAGAAAAAGAAAGTAAATGATGTATCACTTTTTGTTTGTGTTTATATTAAACTCCAGTCCAGAAGCATGTGCTTAGTTAAAAGCATGTGCAAAGAATCATTTATCTTTCAATATAGACTATAGTTTTTCCCTCTGCCTACTTCTATTTTTCTGCTTCTATCAGTTTGGACTGTGACTAAGCATTCAACCCCCTCTACCTGCCCATGTACATACTGAAGGAAAAGAAGAAGACAACTAGGAACAATGATGGCTAAAGAAAAAGGTAGAGGAAATATATAAAATGTTTTGTTTGATTTTAAAAAGAGAATAAGACCTAAAGTCAAAAAAGATAAATACAGAGGCCTTTATTGACTCAAGGTAACACAATGGGGTCTTTGCCAACTGAACCACTATTAAAACTGACTGTGCTGATGAAAGTGTTCAAATGGGGAGAGTAAGACAAATCTTGGAACTATGATTATAACAAGATAGACTGAATCTCTTTCTTTCCTTCTGACTTGTCAAAATTCTCCCTTGAAACACTTCTTTCATGAAATGAAAACTGAAACTATTTTCTTATACATAAAAAAATTAAATTTTTAGTGGGGATGTTTAGTGTTTGATTAGTTAATTTTAATGATTATTAAACCATTTTGATTAAAAAGGAGCATAGACTAGATAGTGCAATAATTAAAGCAGCATTTAGTTTCTTCATTTCAAAACATTTGAAGGTATCTCAACTCACATCCTCCTAAAATAGTTTATGATTAATAATAGGAAATCTTGGTATATAAGGAGGAACGTGCCATCTGGTTATTTTATTCTCTGTAGAAAATTCACTCTTTAGCCGATTACTGATAACACACCTATTAAAAGAGATGCTGTCAGCAGTTTAGGGTCATAGGGACTCTTCCCACGGCCATTTTCAAAATGTGAGTCTTCCAGCTTAAAAATGTTGTCCTGCAGAAAAGAAAAAGAAGGATTTAATTTATTTGTAACAAGAAGTATTTTAACATGCTAGTCAATCAGAGAGAAGCTGAGTATTCATGCCTACCACCAAGGGTTATTATTATTTGTGTAAACTTCCGAGGAGGCAAATAACTCGAAAAGATTGAAAGCTAGCTATTACCAGCCAAATATCAAATTAATTAGGTCATTTTTAGAAGCATTGGGAATGTTGCAGGTAATAACATATTTATGGACTCTAAGAACAAAAAGATGTCATGAGACGAGTGGAGGATCATTTGATCACATGGGTAATGCCAAGAGCTACCCTCCTGGCTCCTAAAGGAAAGAATTTTAAATTTGAATAAATTGACTCTTTTACTGCTTTCACATAGTAGAAAAAAGTAGCAATCTACTATATCAGATGTTTAAAATATGATCCACTATCTTATTTTTCTATATGTACTTTCCAGAAGGAAATGCTAAATAGCCATAGCAGTCACCTTCCCCACTCTGTCATTTCTGTAACTTTCCTGCCTACGTGCTTCTATTCATGCTGGAAAGTGGAAGGTACCTGAAACTATCCTTATCAATTTTTCTGACTTTAAAACATTAAACTGTATGTTAGGGTAGGTGTGGCTGGAGGTGGTGTCATTAGAAGAACAAGCACAGGGGTGACACATTTTTATCTCAGGGAGGCCTAGTCAGTTGAGGCTCACATACTCAGAAACTGGAGTGAAAGTGTGATTACATACAGAAACATGCACAAGTCCCAGGGAGAAAGAATGCCCGGAAGCACTGCAACAAAAGCCTTCCTAGGTGTGACTCAAGCCTGAGACCCTGTCCCCACAATGCGTCTAGCTACTGAAACTTCCGTGTGACAGCGGAGTGAACTGGGAGTATTTCTGAGTGCTCTTTTCAGAACCCAGTGCTCTGGGAATTAATTAGATCAGAATATGTATGGTTTTTCCAGGAGCACATTAACTTGTCTACAGACTGAAATAAAACAGCATTTTTGGCAATCTCTCTACTATTCACATAAAAGTAGTTTCTATCTTCTTAGAAGAGTAAATGGCATTCATTTTATGGCCAATAAGGATCACTTTAACATTTAATATTTCTGATGGAGCTAGTGGCAGAGTTTCAAATTCTGACTCTTAAAACTTATTTGCGTTAGGGAGGAAGAGTACAAGAGGAAGCAGACCAAGTAAGTGTTCTCCATTTTTACTGCTGTGACTGAGAATTACTGATTCTGTTCTTTCCTCACACGGATTCTGTATTTGATAATCAGCTTTTGCCTAGCAATCATGGTTCATTATCTGAGTTCTAAACTTTACAATGTGCAATAACTTATGGGGTTTCTCAGAATTGTGCTAAGTTATAGTGAGAAAGGCAGGATTCAGGTCCAGTTGGACCAATTATTAGTTTCTTTGGTTGCCAATTAATATCTTTGGACTTCAGATCCCCCAAAAGTCAATGCCAATGAGGACATTTAACCTCACATATTTATTGTGAAGACTAAAGAATTTAAATAAAGCAATTTTAATGCAGGAAAATAAAAAAACAAGCACAATTTATTTTCATTACATTAATACTGTCCATGTTATCACCATAACAAAAGAATATAAAAATTTAACACATTGTTACAATTATTGTAATCTGTCCTAACATAATTTGAAAGAAATGTTACTTAAAGAGCATTATGTGACCAAATTATAAACTTGTTTACCAATACAAATTTATCGGATGCACATGAATAATAAAATAAGAATATGAAACTTGACACATGCTAAGCAAAAGCGTACAAGAACCTCTTTAGAAATATTTAGATGTACTTTGATAAAAATTAAGAAATAATCCAAAAGAAATATGCTCAGTAAAAACATACACTCTATTGCCACAAATCATGGAAAATATTATTAAAGTTTGTATATATGTTTATTTCTCACAGGTTAGAGGAAGTAGCAGGGAGAAGTGGTGGTGTGGTTGAAAATATCATTTGAAAAAGTGTAATAAATTTCTTGTTCTCACAAGACTTTACAATACTGATACTGACAAAGATATAAGAGCTATCCCTCAAAGTGGGAGACATTTGATGTCTAGGATCATGTGTCCAAGTTAAGAAGACATGCCAAAGTAGATGAGAAGTACTTCCAACCTTGTGTTTAATATTTGATTTACAAGGTAAAGGATTAGACTTCATAGAAAGGGAGGTTAAGTATGTCAGTTATGGTTCAAGAGAGGATGAAAACTATCCTTCGTCATGGTGTCAGGAAATGTATTCAAAGCTGGCCTCTTTTTCTTTTCCTCCTTTTACCCTTAAATGTAACTCATACCCAGATTTCTCTATTATCTACCATGTAATTCTTCTATATTCTTATATATAACTCCACCAAAAGTCAAAACATTGAATTTTCTTTCCAACCTAGTGAGATGGGGGCCTGGAATAAAAACAATTTGATTTCTGAATAGGGCAGTAAAAGACATTGCTCAGATACAAATGTTCATAGTGTAAAATTCATAGCCATTACACATAGTAATAGGGTTCAAGGGTGTTGAAATCAGACAGAACTGGGTATTATCCCAGGTTCTGCCTTGTAGTAACTCTGGGTCTCAGACAATCCCTAAACTCTTTGGAAATTTAGATTCCTCATCTGTAAAAGGAGGATAAAAAAATCTCATGGAGTTGATGTGAATATTTATTATAATAATGTACATAAAACATTACTTAGTATACCCTCAGAAATATTAATTTTCTTTTCCATTGTTTATTTTGCCACAATAAAATTATTATTTCCTATACTGACAGATATCTTTTATGCCAGAGTGGAAATGCCTGCCTACATTTTTCATCAGTGGAAATTAGGACATATGTTTAAAATACATGCAAATGCTTTGGACTCCCCAAATTCACTAAAATTGTTAGACCAGAGTCTAGTTCAAAAGCTTTCCTGAAAAATATCATTTTATATTGTATGTATAAAAATTCTCAATTAAAAAAGGTCACCCTTTCAATATGTCTGATAAATTTAATGTGACTGATATAAAGAGATGCCAGTATTGCTATTTTTGTTATCTATGGGCAAGATCTATGAGAGTTGTGAAGATAATAATCTATTGTAAGAGAACTCTGTGTTAATATAATTATTCTAAAAGAACTCTGTTAATTGTATAATAACATCCTATGCTGTCAATATATAACATATCACAGAGACAACTATGCAGCTGTACTTGGAAGACCTTTTGAAATCTGATTGCTACTCAATGATTTTGTTTTAAGAGTGTTAAATAGATCAGATATGCAAGCAACAAGACCAAAAATCCTAAGACCAATATATACAATTAAATTGCATTGTTATATGTCTTATTTGGGCTGAAACAGTTTTCATTTTTAGTAATACCTGAACAAACGCCTGGCTGCATGGCTTCTAATTGCTTTAGCAGACATTCTGAGCATATCGTATAAGTTATTGTGCCATATTTTATTACATGATTGCATCAGTTTTCAGCAACTATTTCTAGCTTTCAAGACCATTCTTTCCCCTTTGTCTTTTGGATTTCCTGAATGTTATTAGACTGTGGTGAGGTAAGGCATTAGAGGAAATAATAACTGTGCTAATGTCTAATCCAAAGTCTTATAAATTACAAACCATTGGTGACATCATGGCAATAAATTTCCTAAATCTCAATCTTGTCCAAGTAATAAATTTAGGTCACAAAGTTGCAATATTAGTTATTTCCTTTAATGATTAAAACATAAATGTTTGTAATAAAGAAAAAATAAAGGAAAGGAAAGGAAAGGAAAAGAAAAAGAAAAGAAAATCCTATGTATGTGCGATAGAATGGCCATTGGGGTTGGGAACTACATAAAATTACATCAAAACCAATACTTGGACAGCATTTAAAAACATATATTATTATATTTTCTGAAATTCCTCTTTCGTCTCTCCTATTTCCTAAATCTCAATCTTGTCCAAGTAATAAATTTGGTCACAAAGTTGCAATATTAGTTATTTCCTTTAATGATTAAAACATAAATGTTTGTAATAAAGAAAAAATAAAGGAAAGGAAAGGAAAAGAAAAAGAAAAGAAAATCCTATGTATGTGCGATAGAATGGCCATTGGGGTTGGGAACTACATAAAATTACATCAAAACCAATACTTGGACAGCATTTAAAAACATATATTATTATATTTTCTGAAATTCCTCTTTCGTCTCTCCTGCCTTTCACAAAAGACACCTTGTTTGCAAGTTATACTGAATTATCAACTATTTCCTGATCAACTCGTGCTTTTTCTCATCTCTGCCTGACACTTCTTCATCCTCCCCCAATCCACCTTTAGCCCTCAACCCCAAGATGAACTTCCTTTCCTTTAAGAATAAATTAAAAAGTCACTTCCTAGGAGAAGTCTTCAGAGTTTCCTGCAGATTCAATTTATTATTTTCCTTTGTGCACTGCCTAATTAACAATAGTACACAGGCAATGATTATATTGGGTAAAACTACTGACTTCAGCAAAGAGGGATGTAATAGGAACTCACAGGAAATACTGTGGCATACTGTATTTTGCCCAAAGGAGATTCTTTTGTGGATCAAATTCATCTGGAATTTACTTTTCCTAAAAAAGAGACTCCAGATCTAAGCTGTGCAATACTATAGCCATGAGCCACATGCAACTATTTAATTAATTAAAATTAAAAATCCCACTACTCAGTTACACTAGCTACATTTCAAGTGCTCAACAGTCTCATGAGGCTTGTGAATATAATACTGCATAGATGCAAACATTTCCATTGTCACGGAAGTTCTACTGAACAACACAGCTCTAGGTCCTGGATCCTATTCCCTCAGAAGCAAAGAGTAGAATCAGAAGTCAGATAGTCCACAGGGAGAGAAAACTTGTCATCAGACTACAGTCATTGTAGAAAAAGTCTATGAAATCTATAGGGAGGGGTCATACTAAAAAGAGTTCCTGATTTTTTTATTAACTAGGGTATTAATACTAAGTAACACT